TTTTGATTTCTAGAAATCCCTAAAGTAGCAGAATTCTCAGAAGACATGGTCAACACAGAATTTTTTTATCAAAAAACTTCAACCTTAGGATCCCTCCTTATATCAGAACAAAAAGCTCCACACACAACAAGTGATTAGTCCACCCACACTGCAGTTTTTGGACTTAATCTGAGCACAAGACCATCACCAATTTCCAGAAAAAACAAGATGACAGATCTGATTTCCAGACCTGTACGGAGTAGCAGTCCCAGCCTACTAGTTTTCTCAGAAGGTCTACAAGCAATAATCACAAAGGGAGATCCTTACACACAAGGCATCAAGCCAACAAGTGGAGAAAACAGGTCATACGTGACCTACAGCAACCTTTCACAGGTACAGGATCACATGATCCAAAACAGAGGAAAACCCTCACAAGGGTGTGCCGACATTCGGTGGTTCAGGTCCATTCGTTTTCCTCTTGGTACATGACCAAGGGAAGAGAAGAAAAGAAAAAAAAATGGGGTGGTACCAGTTGCAGGTCTGATTCGATCAACCCAGATGTACTCCTCTGTTCCGCCCAGATTCAATGGCCACACTCTGATACCATCTTGACAGTAAATCTGATTGAAGATTACAGCAAAAGAGAAGAGAAGAGAAGGAAGAAAGAAGGATTGAGGCAATGGAACAGTGCTGGCGGTGCCAGCTTCATTATAATATATAGGGCGAAAAAATAAGAAGGGAAATGACCCTTGTGCCCCTACTAAGTGATGGTACAATAATAGATTAAAATAAAAGGGCTTTAATYATCCAAACAGACCCTAACAAACATAAAATCAATTATTTCAACAGGCATGAATTAAACAAATTATGGCTGATTTGTGGATGCATTGCAAGTTTCTGATGGATTTTSATTCATATTTTTTTTTTGGTATTTGAATTTTTTTTGTGAGATTTTTCTTTTTTTTGATCAATATTGAGATAGGTTTTTCTCCTTTTTCAAGTAGGTCTTTTGGGGATTTATTTTGATATCTATTTTTTTAGAAGTTGTCAGCTTATTATTTCATTTTTATTGGTAATCTGCTTATTAAAAATTTTTGTCAGACTTCTAATGGGTCAGATTTCTTAGAAGATTTAGGGATTTTAATCAGTTCTGAACTCTGAATTCATTCCATCTGTAAGTATGAGTTGGAGAATGTTTAAGAGTCGTTATTATAGGAAAATTAGCCTGTTTAAGGTTCATGCTCTGCAAAGATGA